GTTCAAAATGCCATACATCGGCTTGTAATAGAATGCATTGAGATTTTTCATTTTATTCAAGAGATGTGTAGAATGCATCATTCTACCTTGGTCAACGGCGGCATCGACTTCGACCTTTTGGCTTCTAATTTAAGGCTTAATGCTTTTATCGATACCGCACGCATAGGTTCCAATTTTGATAATTTTGAAATCAAAGATGATTCCCTCTCGCACTCTTCGTCCGTATCCTGATCGCTCGAATCGCTGACGGCGCCCAACTCGACCTGAGTTAATAAGGCTACCAGTTGGGGGTGGTTGGGTTCTAGCAGAATAGGTACTGGCGACTTTTCCTTTCGTTCTTTCATCCATTTTTTTACAGATGCTGTTAAACGGAAATAATTTATTTCCGGATCCGTAGCATTCGTCTAAAATAACAAAAATATATACAAAAAATGTTATGCAAATTCAATAGCTATACAAATACGTGAAATGATTATTGATAATGCAACATGAACTAATAATAATAATATATGGACCAATACAATGTTAATAATTGCCCACGCATATTCAAGCTACACTGATATCAACTGTTTTGTGAATATTATTATAATATTAACAGGTATTCTGCCTTTGAATCAGGGAAGAAGAATGCCAGAGATTTCTCACTGCAATTTCAACAGCAGTGCCCGGGATATTTTCAATTGGAAACATAGTTTTGATCTATATTTTTTTAAAAGTAAAAATTGATATCACTACTACATGATATCAAGTTGTCCAGAGCGGGGGCTAGAACTCACGACCCTGTCGACACAAGACAGTGCGCTTAACCATGGAACGCCCAAATATTATTCTAACAAAAGTATTTAGATATTTTGACAAGTAACTTACGTTAATACATCTTGATTTCCTTAGCCGTTTCCTCCCTCTTTTTGGTTTTCTTTCTTTTTTGGTCGAGATGGGACCGTCTAGAACCATAGCATTTCCATTTTTGATATTCATTTCTAAATAATTATATGAAATCATTCATTGCAAAAAAATTGTTATAAGAAAACATAAGAATATGACATACATAACCAATAAGTTATGGCAAACACAAACAATTAGAATATAGGTAACTGATCGATTACGTGAACTGCTTACCATTGACATCGTTGATTTGGCGACCCAACATGTTTTCCGGGATGTAATGCTTTTCTGAATCGCCATTACGAAAAAGAAGGCCACTACCGCCGCCGCCTAAAGATACTTCATTATCGCCCGTTGGTAGGATAGAATCCTTTACAAAATCTTGCGTATTTGCCATCTCAGTCGTATTTGTCTAATTAGGAAAAGAATCAGTTGAATATAAGATCTAAATTACAAATAGTTATACATTCAGTAATACCAAATGCTTTAGGGAAACAATTGGCTGCGTCTATTTAAAACAAAAGACAATCAATCTTATGGGCAGACTTACAATAATGTATATGTATTTGACAGATGGTTGTGTGAGTATTTTGATTGTGAAAAATACCAATTTGTTTATTGTTATTTTGATTTAATCTCTCTTATATATGTAATTATAAAATATTTGATAAATATGGCTTTTAAAATCTTACCTTGTCGATAATATGAGAATTATTGTATATGATATATTCAATCAACCTCGACCTGATCGTAAACAATACCTTAGCAACGATACGTAGCAACAATCGAACCAATCAAAATTCGCCTTTTATGAAATGCACATTTGCGCTTATTTTTTAATATTGAAAAAAAAACTAGTGGGGTGTATGGCATCGTGCCTTAAGGCAAATTGCTGGAACTTCCCGTACCGTAACGAAATGTTCGAGGAATACTGAATGTTTTCAAATAGATTATTATTAATATTGTAACATTGTCTAATATTTATAAGAATTTTATAAACTGAATTGCAAAGTGGAAATTATCTGCTTAAAGTATTTTAAATTTTATTAGAATTAAAAATAAAATTTGAATTATTTTCGATATACAAAAAATTAAAAAAAAAAATTAAAAAAAGTTTAAACAATTTTTTTTCCAAAATCAATTATTTTGTTAAGACAAGCAGAAAGTTCTTTGAATCAATTAAATCGGACGCTTAGTTCTCTCAAAAACTGCCATTTTTTGTACATTTAGCTTCGAAATGGCTGGGCCTGCCTTTGCCAAAAACTAATAACCACTTCTTCCAATCATAACTTAATTGAATGTTTTTTAGATCATTCAAATCAGATGCTCCGTTCTCTCAAAAACTCGATTTCTATTTTCTGCACTCTTTGCTCTTTATCTCCGTATCTGCTGGACCTGCCTTTGCCAAAAACTAATCAGCACATCTCCTTATCAATAGGGATCGCCCGAAAACGTGGACGAAAAATTGTATCCATACATACATACACACACACATATCCATTTTTCTGAAGTATGCCAAAATATTCAAAACTTCGGGAAATGTAAAAATTTTCAACTTCGATTTTCGGCCCATTATAATAACTTACCCTACGGGAAGTTAATAATAACAAAAATATTAAAAATTTCGATAGTGATCATCAAGAAAAGTAGTTCAAAATTAAGTATCTATAACAGTGGTATTCCGACCTTAAAATACCTTATGTATAAGGTCTATGACAGGTAGTCAGGTGAATATCGCTTATAGGCAATGCTCGTAGCAAAAGATTTAATGGAAAACATTATCAGCTCACCTGATTGTTTCCTTTTTATAAAAATTTTAATCACCAAACGGAAATGTGGAAGCCGTATGTCCTCAATAGCGTCACAAATTTCTTTTTTGAGGTCTTTAATTTTATCTGAACTTTTGTTTTCTTAGATGTTACGATGGTTTTCAAGTAACTGAAGAATGCTGATTCCCAATAAACACAAATTTGCTAACAGTTCTAGTTTTTGAGATATACCAATGTACTAGTACTAGTTTCACTTCAAATTACTTAGTATATGCAGCGGGGGCTATAGCTGTAGTAGCATCATCCTTCTTACAAGTAAGAGGTACTCGACTTGTATCCCTGTACTCAAAAAGAAAAAGAAGAACTCTGACTCTGTGCACCCATGACTGAGTTGGAGAGTCAATACACCAAGGTCTACCTTCGAAAAAAGTTAGAATTCAAATATGTAATAAAAGGGAAAATGCATGTAATAATACAATGTAATAAGTAAGAAAAAGTAATATGTATGTAAGGAAAAGTGTTAAGTATGTAAAAATGTAAGAAATTGTAATAAAGTTTAAAAAAAAAATAAAAAAATCTCTTGATGTCGCTCCTCCAAAGACTTGGTTGAAATTCTTCTTTCTGTAAGTAATTGTTTTAGTACTGGTGTTTTTTGTATATCAAAAATTAAATGTAATTTAAATTAAATATTAAAAAATGTGTAGTAGATAAGTAACTGTTTTTGAAATTACTCTGAAGAAGAGGCATACCATAGTCTCGAAACGTCTGTAATTACCAAATAAAGTGTGAGTTAAAAATCGTTCATATTTAACATTTAATATATATATATATATATATATATATATATATATATATATAAGTAATCAATAAGGGTTCACTTTACATAACTATATATTCGAAGAATCAGATGTATATAAAAAAAAAACATGAAAAATGGAAGGTGACAAAAAACGCTATTTTTAATAACTTGATCATTTATTAAGCAATTAAACATTCACACAAACTTAATGCAATATTCATCATAGATACACTTTATAATATGGGATACATGCTTAACATTATCACCGCAAGAATACATTTATATGTAGCTTCAGTAGTATTAAATATATATGTTGTCATATAATATGTATTTTGTTTCAAATAGTATATGATGTTAAACATATTTATATCATCCTGTGGCATTTGTATTAAGGCACACATAAATAAACATTATTGTTGAACGCAAATTAGCGGGACTATATGGCCTAAATTTGATACAAAATCAACGCACACATTATTACTCATTTGAAACACTAATAGATAATTATTAATTATAATATAAATATCAAATCAACGTTATTGGCCTACACTTATTGAGTATCCTGCTTGTGTATGTCAAAAATTAACATATTTTGGTTAATAACAGCACGAAGTAAGTCAGTAATAAAAACGTACACAATGTTGCAAAGATAAATTAATTTCTTTTTATCTTATAGTCAATTTATTATTGCTATTTAATTATTATAATCATCAAAAAAATATAACTCGTGAGAGTAGGAAACCGTGAAACGTGACAGTTCAAAATGTCTTTTATATCAACTTATAATATAATATATTAAAGTAATGATTAAATTGAATATGATTTTTATTCAATGAAACTATAATTAATCAGATTATGGAAGCATTTATAGTCTCATTTCGCACTCCCATACGTGAAGCTGCATTTTCTGTGTATTATGAGATGCATCATTGTACTGTACCTATATGAATAAACTATTCAATTTATAACTGCTATTTACCTAAGTTATACTTAATCTACGGTCAATATTTATCTAAATTTGAATATTGTAAACTGTAATGTGAGTTTTATGCAAACAAAGCAACTATTAAATATGATTAGGAATATTATCTAAAGGATGCAATAAAAAATCATATGCTATCGTGAAAGCTTCAATGATTTCATAATTATTCTACTCTGAACATAATAACATAAGCGCTTGTTAAAGATCAAGAAACAAATCAACAAAATGTAGCTAATGAAGAAAATTTCATTTCAACAACATTTTGAAGAATTTTCCTTATTGGCCAAATTGTACATTACAAATGTTTCTTAAAAACTGTATCACGTTAAGAATTTATTAATAATAGTATTAACATCCTAAAGAATTATGTAAATTATATATTTATAATGCAATGCAAAAAAATTCATACTTCACTTGATAATTTCTATTTTCCCTAAAGTTGTATAATCTAATGAAAACACGAAAACGCATGAAATTTAAAATACCAGTTGTTAGCCAAGAGAATAATCACAAAAAATATGAATAATAAAAGCAAAGTTAATTTATATAATTTTATTTCGAGTTACAACAAATAAATTTTTATGGTTCCGCTCACTATAACTTCATTTAAAGCATTGCATAAGTTGTGGTAGAAAATTGTTTCATTTGTTACCGCTGATAAATCTTTGCAGAATTCTTCTAGAAATATCAAATTAGAAATAAATATGATTGTGAATAGAAATATAAAACAAATTAATTCGAAACTTTCTGTAAATTATGTCTAGTTCCAAAAATCAATGAAAATTTGTTCACAACCACAAATAGAAGGTTTGTGCATAAGTCCAGCTTATATTTCATTGTTCAAATTGCTTATCGTTTTATTCCTTGGCTCAAAACCGTAAAAAAGTAGTAAATGTAGTGTGGTCACAATGAGAAATGTAAACGTAATGAAAATTATGTTAGAACATATAAATGTCGCGTTTGTGTTCACAGAATAAATGCAACTTAAGGTAAATTTATATTTTTGATGACTGTCTAGAGTCAGAGCGCATGTATTTTGTTGGTACTCAAATCAGCGCGCAATCATTATTATTTGCACGAATTATTCATGTTGTTATGAGACACGTATTACAACTTAATGAACAGCAATTCTTGCAACATCTTTCATGAAGTACTCAACATTATTAACAAGATAACCATCATTCAGACATCAACATCTAACATTTCTTATTATCTAATTAAGTATTTGAAACGTTACAGTTTCTAAACAGTCTTAAAGTTCCTAAGGGGCTTTTCTGACATCCAGTACCATTTGTAAAAAACTTTGGAGAAATAAAAATTATTTCTTTGTGTTTTGTATAAGTTTCGACGTAATATCTTTTCAAAGAACTATACATAATTATGGTACAATAGAAAATGATACACTATAAGAAACTAGTTTATCTCCAAAGCTTCCTACAATTTTTAATAAAATATAACGCAAGCTCCGAATGTCGGAACAGCCGTCAACCACCCTAGGCCGTAACTAAACTTATATTTTGTAACAAGTATCAGTAACAAATAAAATATGATATTTATATTAACAAACAACGTTTCATAATCTCATCTCGGTGAAAAAATAAAGATATAAATGTAATGATCGCTATAACTTTCATAGTATAACCTGATAATAGATTGAACTCTTGTTTAATGGACGACACATCAAATATTTAGAAATTCTTTAGTGCGTGCGATTTATAAATTACGATTGAAATTTCATGTTCGGATCATTACTTAAATCTATATAAACGATGTCGTGTTTTTAAAATTACGTTAATCGAGAATAATTACAAACATTGATTAGTTTTTGTGTAGTAACACGTAATGATAATGTGATAGTGATCATCAAGTTGTCATTTACATGAGGCTGCAGCAGATGCCGTTGCAGGGGGGCACAACGCCTTCGCCGCGAAGCGGTGGCAGTACGGGGGGTTTTGCGCCAAGTGAGGCGCTCAATTTTTCGTAGTCCACGCTCTTGCCGTAGACGGACTCGTATTGTTCGACCACTTCTTCGTCTTCTGTCTTCGATCGGACTAGATGAGGCAATGCATCGAAGGGCAGAATGTCAGGTTCCCAGCAATCCAGCAAGTCAGGTTCCGATGTTATTCCTGCAACCCTCTTACGTGAGTCATCTTGAATGTCGCTCAGATAATCGCTGTCCGTATCACCAGTTTCACCTCGCCTCAGCGACGGCGGCGTCGACCTCGATCTCTTCGCTTTCAACTTTTTACTCAAGCTTTCAACAGATAATGCACGCAAGGGGTTGCCTCGGGAGTTTTTTGGATTCCTAGGTGAATCGTCATCGCACTCGTCCGTATCCTGATCGCTCGAGCCGCTGCCGTCCAATTCCGCTTGATTCAATAGAACAGCTAATGCGGGGTCATCGGGCTCTCGCAGAACAGGTTCAGGTGACTTTTCTTTTTGTTCTTTCAGCCATTTTTGTACAGTCTCGGTGATATGGAAATAATTAACCTCAGGATCTTTTAGTTCCGTTATTATAACACCCTCATCCAAAAGTTCATTTTCCAGAAACTTGTTTTCCACTACTTCACTGTCCAGAGCCTCACTTTCTGGGTTTTCTGAATCAATAGTGAGATCTGGTACAGAATTTAATGTAGATTCCAAATCCTCAGAAATATCTATGGTGTTAGATATTTGTTCTATTATTTCCTCTGACTTAATATCACAAACTACAGGCGCCGCTTCCATTTCTTCTTTTAGTAAAATTTTATTGCTGGCTACTGTTTGCAAATCTTCACTATCACTATTTGAAGAGGATACATCATTTTCTTTGGAATTCAACATAGAATCATTTACACTTTCTTTAGAAATATTACAACTTGTTACACTTTCATCCGGCGTCGGAGGCAACACATGACTTTGAATGAATTCTTTAGGATTATCTGTAACAGAAAGCGTAGGGGCAGTGTAAACGTAGTCTTCAGATGACTGTAATAAGTTCTCCAGATGCTGATCTTTTAACTCAGGAAGTTCAATATAAAGTTCTTTGAGCTCCTCAATTCCAATTCCATTCATTCGGTCTCTCATTTCTACATTAGTAAAATCTAATTCGGTCATATTCGTTGGTCCCAATAGTTGTGCCAGATTAGATTTTACTGATTCTATATCAACTTGTTTTGTCAATTTATGAGGTTTACCATTCGTTGTTCTAGATTTATTCTTTTTCTCATCATTATCGTAACTATTAGTTTTATTTTTGTTATTATCTTTAGTTTTCTTGCTCTTTTTCGACTTCGTTTTAGAAGTTTTATTATTTTTCTTATCTGACAATGTATTAGATTCTTCAGTATTGATCTCTTCATTATTATCTACAGTGTCGTCAGATGTAAAGCATACATTATCTTCGAGCTTATCAGTATCTAATGATCCATCTTCTTCTGATGGTGGTGGTGTGACATTACCCTCAATGAACATTCGGAAGGTGTTCTCAGAAGCTACGTCACTGACAGGAGACGTAGGTGACGCTGAGGACGTATCATGTCGATTCTTTTTGTTTTTCGAACGTGAGCTTTTAACTGTAGTCCATTGGTCGGTACGGGGCGTACTGCAGTTGATAGGCGATGGTTTTTCTTTGCATATTATTTGAACTTTACGTACCGTTTCAATAACTGGTTGTGCTACCTTTTTTATTGGACTTTCCATATTCTTGTGCGCACTTCCATTTGTCAAAGGAACTGTGAACGATTGTTTGGGAGCAGGTTTGCTATCTTTTTTGATTCTCTTAGTTTGAACAGCGACTTCAATTTTTCCTTGAACAGCTTTATCTTTAACAGATTTTTCTTTGATAGGTTTTACCTTTACAGATTCTACTTCAATTTTCTTTTGAGCAAGTTTCTCTTCAACAAGTTTCTCTTCGACAAGTTTCTCTTCGACAAGTTTCTCTTCAACCAGTTTCTCTTCAACCAGTTTCTCTTCAACCGGTTTCTCTTCAACCAGTTTCTCTTCGACAAGTTTTTCTTGAGCAACTTCTGGAACCAGCTGTTTTTGAACAATATTTTCCTGAACCTGAAGTATTTGAGAATTTTGTTCGGTTTCTGTTTCGATGGGCTGTTCTAGTGCAATTTGTTGAACTTTATAACACTGAGGCACAAATTCTTGTACATCAGTTTTTAATTGGCTAGTTTTAGCCAGAAGATGAGCCTTTGGAATAAACTCAGAGCAATTCGTATTTAGTACTGACTTTGAAGGATCACATGGGATGGGAGAATTTGGAGGTGGATAATTTCCTTGTTCGACTAGTTGTTCCTTCAGGCAAGCTTCTTGGACGCCGTTAATACTCGACATGAGGCTGCTTGTGGTACTACCTCTTTCTAAAGAATCATTAGCGGTTTCGCTATCGCTTGAAAATTCGTCTTCTGAATTATCAGTAGCATTCGTCTAAAATAAAACAAAAACATTTGAAAAATGTTATGGAAATTCAATTGCAATACAAATATGTAAAATGATTATTGATAATAATACATAATAATATCTGGAATAAATAATTGTCCATTCATGTTCAAGCTGCACTGATATGAAACGTTTTGGCTTGTAAATATTATTGTAAGAATAATATTTACAACCTGGGACAGGTCCGTGAGATAAGTTAAACTCCAATTCAAATGAGGAAGAATAATGTGAGATTTTCCATTGCCATACCACAGCACAGTGCCCAAAAGGGCTATTTTCAATTGGAAACATTTTTGATCTATATTTTCAAGTAAAAATGATATCATTACTGCATATGACCATGTTGGCACAAGGCAGTGCGCTTAACCAATATGTAATAAAATGCCCAAATATTATCACAACAAAAGTATTTAGATATTGAAAAGTAACTTACGCCATTACATCCCGAAGGTTTTCGCTGCTTCCTCCTTCTCTTCTTTTTGATTTTTTGTTTATTCGAAACATCCATAGAACCGCCTAGAGCCATACCATTGCCGCATTGGATATTCATACCTAAATAATTATATGTTATCATTAATTGCAAACAAATTGTTTCAGTTGAAAATATGACACACATAACATATCCAATAGGTTATGGCAAACACAATTATTAAACGATTATATACAAATACAATAATAATATAAACTAGTTGGTATTGGTATTTTGCCTTGAGGCAAGTTACATGAACTTCCCGATATGTATAAATAATCGACTTAATCAATAAAAAATTAATTAATCAATGAGTGATTAAAAGTATTCTGAGTGGATTTATAACACAAAACGAACGAACACGTTAACTAAGAGTATTTTTTAAAAGCAGTTTCCGTAAGACTTTAATGGTTTAGTTTAGTATTTTCATTAGGACCAAGTACTCTATCGTTATACCAAGTAAATCGTCTAATTTTAATTTTAACAAACGTTAAAAAAATTACTCATATTTTCACAAACTTTGATGGATTTTTAAAATTAAACTACTTGTCGTAAGGCCGTAATATTTCAGTAAGTTCTACAAGACCATGATATATCGCCAAAAAAAGTTCCATAAAAATCGGCTTGAATTTTAATTACAAGAAAACGGCTCGGTAGATTTTCACATGTAACTAATCAGTATCATTCCCAATTTTAATCTTTCGAACAGTTTTTGATATTTTAAAGTCGATTCGGTAGTATTAGCTTAAATGTGGACGAAAAGTTTAACATTTTTTTGCAAATTACAAAGAAACGCCTCGGCCGATCGTCGCACGAAACTGAGAAACGATAATCCTCATCGAGATACATCAAATAGCTTTTAAATTTCGGAAATCGGTTCAGGCGTTTTTGAGCAAACGTCGATGAAAAGGCTAATTTTGACAAATGCCAAAAAACGATACTAATTTTTGCAAACTTTGACGAATTTTTAAAGTGAAATGAGTAATCGTAGGGCCTTAATATTTTAGTATGATCTATAAGACTATGGTATCGATTCAGAATTCCGGGCTAAAAAGTGGACGAGAAATTCTTCACTTTTCTGCGATTTACAAAGAAACAGCTTGGCTGATCGTGGCGCAAGATTGATAAACGGTAGTCCTCATCGAGATACATCGAATGGCTTTTAAATTTTTGAAATAGGTCCAGCCGTTTATAAAAAAAACGTGGATTTACGGCAAAAAATCTGTTCACACACACACACATAATTTTCCAAATTTGGTCTCGTTCCATTCAGAATGGCTTGAAACGTCGGGAAAGCATAAAGTTAGCTTTATGCTTTTAGGATTTTTTATGAAAACAAACTTCTCCTTCGGGAAGTAAATAACTAAGCAACTAGGTAAACTAGGTAACTGCTTACCGTTAACGTGGTACATTTGGGCTCCAAACATGTAACCAGGGTAGATGTAATGGGGTGTATCTACCATACCATTGTGCAGTGTGGTATCCTGTTCTGGACCGTTGGAATTATTAATAGAAACTCCACTGCTGTCAGCGCTGTGCTGGGCTGCTTCACTGTCGCCCGTGTCTTTGGTAGAAGCCTTTCCAGAATCTTCTGGGCTGCTGTGACTAGCTGCATCGTCGTGCGGACTCGCCATCTCATTCGTATCCGACTAAGGAGAAAATCAATTCAATATCTAAAGTACTAGTAGTTATACCATGAATAATAAAAAATACAACCAACACTGCGTGTTTTTAGAACCAGGCAAAAACGTTAAATTTTGGAATTCATTTTGAAAATTTTGAAATTATTTTTTAAATTCACATAAAAAATAAATACTTTCATGCCTTATGTCTGGACTAGACGCCCCCAAAAATGTTAATGGAAAATTGAAAATATGAGAAATGTCAGCAGTTGTGTAACAACTTTCCTGCCATAGAAATATTTTGGCTATTTTATGATAGTAAATTATTTTTTATTAGCCATTTCACGATTTACCCACGCAAATATATCGAAGATTATTTTAACTGCTGAAAAATTAACGGTATTTGCACAGTTATATATTTTTGTTTTTTTTATTTGCTATTATAAATTACAATCCGTCGTTATAAACAACATTCAGTAACTTTAATGGTTTATTATATAAGGAAAAAAGGTCGAAAGGCCACCCAGTGGTGTTCCGTTTCGATGTTGATTATGTGCAGCTCATAGAAGTAATAGTGATGGTGCTGATGCGAAAAAATTGAATAAAACCTAGTAATAAAAAGAAAACGGTAGTAATTGTACTTATTATAAATTAGTACACAGTGCTAATAAAATAATGTGTATCCAAATGTTAGTAAAGGATTTCAGAAAAGAGCCGTTTTCTTTTGAGCCGTTCGATGCCTAAACTTTTGGCCATGATGTTTGGGTGATTCTGTATTTTTTCCCTGTATCTCAGACTGAATTTTTCAATTTATTCCTGAACTGTGTTTATGTTCAAATATGTATGAACCAACCAATATGAAACATATTTGGGTACGTTTATAATTTCTTTCAAAATCTTGTTTTGAAATCTTTGAATTATGGCGATGCTGGAATTGCGTGCCGTTGCCCAAAGCTGTATTCCGTACGTCCAAATTGGTTTTAGTTATATATGTTGAGTTTTTTGCTCTTTGTATATTTACCAATTATTATGTACAATTATAACTATGGGCCTAAAAAAAGAGTCATGTATCTTGAATTAAATCGTGAAATAATAATTAATAATATGAGGATGGAAAGGTTGTACGAGTGTAACACATCAAAGATATAAACTGTGTTTAAACAAAAAGAGTTGATGAAGGATATACCTCCAGGCAAGAGCTTTATAATAATTTATAAGCAGCCTTCTAAGCTCTAAAAGATTGGGGATCAAAATCACACCGAAAAAGTTGCTACAGTTCGAGCATCGGAGCTGTTCAATGAAACATGTCTAACTCATTTTGGCAATATCATGGATAAAAAAAAACAACGATTAAATTAAGAAATGGTAAACTTATTTTTGATATTCAAAAAAAAATTAACAAAATTCATAATGCTAGAACAAATTGATTGGATTTCAATGCATATTTATATGGAAAAAAGTGCTTCGAGATACGAGCATGATTACAGAACGAATTAAACTCGTATATCGGAATACTTTACATGTAAATAATATTCAATGAAAAAAAATTATTAATAAAAATCATCTACGACCTATTGGGGATCACGTGCGAAAAGCTAGCGAGCAGATAAGGGTTAAATTTTAATTTAAAGACTATGGAATTAAATTTTTCAAAATTTCGACTCGTTTACTTTGAAAAAAAAAAAAAAATTGTGAACGTATTGAGCTTGTGTGGATAAAAAATAGTTGATTGATGATGAGTGAAATTAGTTAGCAAAGATCGGATTATTTTTTGGTTTTTTGCTTCTTTACTATAATAAAATAAGAACTATCACTATAATATAATAGTAGTCCTATCCTAAATTTTCATAGTGTCTACATATCTGAACAAATAAGTCAAATATCGCAGTATTATTACTTCATATTCCGTAAATTATCACAAAATATAAAATTCCCCATCAATCTGATTTATTAACCTTTGAAAAATTCAAAATATTAAACCGACGTTTAAAATACTACTACAATAATAACTCAGGACTCTGATTATGTGAAATCCATTGATAAATTCAATAAACATACAAAATGAGATGCAACTTATACGTGTCTTGATACATGTTATCGGAGATCTTTCTCAAAATGATTAATGGATGACATAGATCAAATCTACATTTGCGTCAACACAGGGCAGAAGCATGAGCTAATTAGCACATTTTAGTTATAAATACAACTTTGTAAAAGGAGAACCAGATTCAAACACTTATATAAAACAATAAAAAATTAATTATCGTAAGTTTTTTGTACAATCCCGAATTTTATTTCAGAATACAAAATAATTTCATTTAAAATATCATTACATTTAATGCATATCATATGAGATAATTATGACATTTTATATTTTCTCATATATCTTGTAATCACCTATCATTATGAATGAATATTATAAAATATGTATTGAAACATACGAGGTCTGTTCAAAAAGTACCCGGAATTTTCGTTTTTTTCAAAAAAATATTTATTTATTCGTCTACATTAATGTGGTCCCCTTCAAAGTAGTCCCCCCCAGATATAATACACTTATGTCAGCGTTTTTTCCAATTTTCGAAGCACCCTTGATATTCACTTTTTGAAATGTCCTTGAGCACTCTCAGCGATTTTCTTCAATCGAGGAAAACCGCCGTCCTTTCATGGGTCTCTTCAACTTTGGGAATAGGAAAAAGTCACACGGAGCCATATCTGGTGAATTTTTGCACTTTGCAACACTTTATTTCATTTTTTACGCAAAATTTAATACAAATTCTTTGACTTTTCAATTCTTCCATTGTAAAAATCGCCGAGCTCAGAAAAACACGTCGAACCTTAGCGACTACCACAGACAAAGTAAACAGTGAATATAGCTGAAAATTTCATCATACTTTAGGGGCATGTATACCAACACAATAAAAAAAAATTTTTGACAATCAGACACTCCAGACCCGCGAAATTTAATTATTAGTAATTCCGGGTACTTTTTGAACACACCTCGTATATAATTATTGCCGTTTCTAGCTGTGATTAAATTTTTACATATTTCGAAGAACTATTTGCAACTTTTTTGCAGCAATGTTTGAATAATCTATTTCGATTTGGAAATATGTTTTTGATCTATATTTATAAGTGGAACTGGATATCACTACTGCTAGATACCAGGTTCTGAACCCAAAACCGCACGTGGAGTCGAACTCGGTGAATTTCAAACATATAGAGACTACTCCAATGCTCCACAAACATTTCCCAATTTTATAATAAGCTAATGAAAAAAAAACAGTGAACTACAAGTAGAACACGCTCGCTAAAGTTTCTATACAAACGTCTCTTTACCAAAATAAAACTCTCTTCATTATGTAACACAGTACATTTATAGTCGATTTGAGTGGAGTTTAGACAAGATTTTTTTTATATTTTTAACATCAATAATAAGTCTCTGTGATGAATTTATTATTACAATTTCTGCAACACTGATGTATTTTTTTATTGATGCAGCCAAAGACGAGCTATTTTTACTTGGTAACATGTATATTTCGACGTGAAAACCGATGTCACTGTTGCTTGACTCAGGCAGAATTTGGAACAGTATATTTTAAAAATATGTTTCAGGTGTATATATTACTAATAAAACATGATATAATCATTATAGACTAGAGTTAAAAAATCTATAACTAAAAGTAATTTTAAATTATCTTCTCTCGAAATATTTTACATTTGATCGGTCCGGCCGTGATCTAAGAAAGCGAACACTTATAAACAATTATAAATTATGCTGTGTACTGATAACCTACATTCATGAATTTACATCTAATTCACAAATTTAAATCGACAATAAAATCTATATTAAAACTCAAAATAATGTCACACACGTTTTTCTTCCAAAAGAATAAAATTTATTATAAAAAACTTAACTTCGGATGTCTTTAAATTCAAATATATAAAAAATTCATAGTATGTAATCAATTATTATACTCAATGCGTTAAAACTGAAAATTATAAAAATGACGAAAAATGATTCACTTATATTGATGAAATGAAAGAGATTAATAAAATTTTTAAGAAGGCAGGTCCAGCGGTTTTGCTGAACTAGATTTTTTTTTAAATGCCGTTTGACGGTCAAAAATGATTTTTAAACATATGCATATCAAATTATCAGAAATTTCATAGAGATTTCAATAATGAGTACATATTTTGTGTCCATTTTTTGGGGGATACCAAGTACAGAATACCAAGAGTTTAATTTTTAAAGTTCGATGAAATATCCTCGACATTTTCGACAGTGTGGTTCACTGGGCTTAAATGGGTTTCAATACTTCAAAACTTGCAGAAAAAAGTCTAAATTTTCAAAAAAAAAACAAAATATTTACTATTAGGAAAACAACGACTTAGCAAAGTGAACAAAATATTTATGTAGGGTGCCAGTGCCGCAATGATTATTTTTTATATAATTTACGACACTGTTTTATCGATGGACCAGGAATAATTTTAAGATAATTTGGTTGAATCGTAATGCTAATTCAATTTATTGTACTCACGACTTGAGATTCCGCGTAACTCGCATTGGTACTGAACGGGTGCTGCATACAAACTTGATTGTAGTATTCTATGTGACCATAAGGTGGATAAGGACCATAAGGATACATCATCATAGGCCCAAAACCATCAAAATTCGGCATAGCTGAAAAAATAAAATGAAAATTGAATGATAATTCAGAAGCCAACCATCTTCAATTTGTATCGCATTATATTCATCCATAACAATGTCAAAAATTAATAAATCAGTAAAATGTTACATATACATTTACTTCAAGAAATTTATATGCTCGAGAGTGCTCGTTTCAGCACGATCCGTTTTAAAATGTCTATTTTATCTGATAAGAGCATGATTTGGAGTATCCCGTCTAAAAGAGTACCTACGTAAACTTTGTTGGTGAACGATAAAGATTCAAATATTTACTCACCGTTTACATAGAACACTCCGTTTTGGTCGTAGAAACCGTTCGGGTACATAAGCCCATCTGGCATCATAACTTCGGACTCAGCAGGAATTTCTAGAAATAAATCCATAATTAATGAAACAAATTAACAAACAAAAAAAACATGAAAACATATAAATCTTTGATAAAAAGTTTTAGTTAATTAATTATATCTTTATTAGCGATTGTACAATCGAGAAACACTTTTAAGGTGTACTTCTGCAGCTTTAAATTCCTCGACTTATAGGGCAAAATTTAAGTAACAATGTTAAAAACGGTCTATGATCTCGCTAACCAATAAGCTACTGATCTAATATAAATATTATATAGAACAAAAAATAAATCAGATCCATCAATGCGCCCTGATTCGTCAGCAATCAAACCACAAGTCATTGAACCAGTTTCCGTAGAACTTTAATGGTTTAGTATGTTCATTAAAACCAAGTACTCTTATCGTTATGCCAAGTAAATCGCCTAATTTTAATTCTAACAAACGTCAAAAAAACTACTCATTTTCTTAAACTTTGATGAAATTTTGAAATTAAACTACTTGTCGTAAGGCCGTAATATTTCAGTAAGTTCTATAAGACCATGATATGCCAAAAAAGGTTTCATAAAAATCGGCTTAATTTGTTTTCAACAGGTAATTACAAGAAACGGCTCGGTAGATTTTCACCTGAAATTAATCCGTATCATTCCCAACTAATATCTTCCAAACAGTTTTTGATTTTATAAAATCGATTCGGTAGTATGAGCTTAAATGTGGACGAAAAGTTTACCACTATTTTCCAAATTACAAAGAAACGGCTTGGCAGATCGTCGCACAAAACTGACAAACGATAGTCCTCATTGAGATACATCAAATAGCTTTCAAATTTCTTCAATCGGTTCAGGCGTTTTTGAGCAAACGTCGATAAAAGGTCCAATTTTGACCAATGCCAAAAAACGATACTAATTTTTGCAAACTTTGAAGAATTTTTAAAATTAAACGACTCCACAAGAATCTGGAAATTGGACACGGTTTGCAACAAATTATGAACCACACCTGGACGAGAAGATTAAAAAAAATGCACTAACATAACTTCACTAACATAATTTGATATTTGTTTTAAATAAATAACTAATTGCCTCTAGACTGTTTAAGAGGGTTTACTCGATAAAAACGACCTTTAGGGAACGTCCATTAATCACGTGAGCGATTTTCATGGATTTTTGGACCCTTATACACAACATCAAGTTTATTTTTAGTGCCTAGAAAAAATCATAAATTTTATGATTTTTTTTTTAAATCAGATTTTTTTTTAAATTATGGTAAAAAATAAATACACGTGATATCTTCTTACTTCACCCCCCCCACCCTTTAAGGCTCACGTGATTTATGGACGCCCCCTTAAACGTGAGTGTAATAAAGAGATAAATATTTATGTAGTAATGATACAACGGTGCATCTTAAATATTGATGCTATAATTAAATCACAACAGCCCAGATTATGCAATGTACTGCAAACATTGACAATATAAATATTGCAATTATCGCGGGACTTTAGAATTCTTATCAATGTCAGTTGCATTTAGCATGTGTTGTGCTAGGTTAGCACCTCTTGCGAAATTATCGATATTCAAAAGTACTATTATATTAATTTCTTAATGTGCAATTTTATGCTAAATATTATCAGATTTTGATAAATCCCTTGTGCAAAAACACAATTAAATTTTAATATATCTGCTAAAAAATTTCAAGTAATGATGTAATAAATAAATCTCGGCGACACTTGTTTTTTGTTCTTTACTATAGAAACTTGAATAATTTAATTAATTAAAAAAACATCTTCTATCTCTATTATTATTTTTTCTAACTAGAATAATGATGATCTAATTTGAAAATAAATGATATACATATATGACATATTATTAGATGATGGAATAAAGTATTCCTAAAAATATGTGGAAACTACTTAATAAAAATCATACCGTATACTGCATAAATATTTAATATTCACCGTTTTATAAAAATCTGATCGTAAAATTCGTATTGCAAAAACAACAATTTACCTGCCAATTTTGCCGTAAAATAGACTAATGTTATGGCAAGGCTATGTCACGCTGCGTTTTTTCATATAAAATAGTACTAAAAACTGTCAAAATGCTACGTGATTGCTGTGCAGTCAGGTGTTTTAGAAACAAAACCTAACCTAGAAAACGCATGAACGCCAAAACAAAAATCTTATCAAGTGCATCTTTCTGATGTGTCTTAGTAAAATATGAGTAAAGTTACATTTTACGTGTAAAACGTCTGATCGCACAGAAAATACATAGCATTTTGATAGTTTTTAGTACCATTTTATATAAAAAGCGCAGCGTGACATAGTTTTGCCTTAACATCGGTCTACTTTACTGAAGAATCGGCCGGTTAATTAAATTCTAATCCCAATAGGGATAAAAGCAAAAACATACGACTATATTACTTTTGAAAACAGAGAAAATGGAATCAATTTTTATGATTTGACTTATTATTAGTATTACAAAATCAAAGTTGTGTTAACCCTCTATGGGCCCACGTAGCTATTCCTAATTTTTCGATGTTTTACTTTATAAATTGTGGCTTTTCCGTAAGATGAAGCATAAATTTTAATTCTATAACGTTGTCAAGATAAATAATACTAACATTTAAGACATTTGTTAAAATTTTCAACCTGAAATAAAATTTCATACACAGAAGTGCGAATCTGTGTAACACACTTAAGAAAATAAATTAAATGCAAAGTAATTAATCTAGTCCTGTCTACGTTAGAAAATTGAGTAGTCGTCAATTTTGACAATACCATAGTTAAATTTTTAAAAGCCCAAAGTTTCTACAATACTTCTGAATTTGCCAATTTCGATAACAAACAATATTTAGTTAATGAAATGCTTACTGATAATATCTGATATAACTTTTCTTTCAACAGTTCCAATGTCTTCCTTTTTCCATATTTTTCCTAATTTTTATTACATTTTATTTTAAAATTTTCCCACTCTAACGTAAGTATTATATATAAAGATTAAAAAATTTTATCATTACAATTATTTTCAAATTATTTTTTCTTATTTCCTTGATACTGCTCTTAATTATTATTTCCCAGATTTGGGACTTAAATAAAAATTGCGCAACGGATATTTAAAGGATTTTTTATGATCAGAAGAAACTCAAGTCTTAAATAAACTATCTCAATATCATAACATTTTTTCTTCAAGTTATTGCATTTCATAATACTAATGTTAGCCTTAATATCGTTTTAGAGTCATATTTTACTGTAATTAATTTAATTAAGATAACTTACTTTTTGTAATTACTAAATTTAATCCTGTATCCAAAATATAAAAATTATAAATATAAAAAATATATAACAAAATAACTGCTGAATGTGTAACTCCATGTGTTGCACCATCAGATAGTGTTCTAATTTTGTTCATATAGCTTGCTTAAACCTTTCGCTAAAAATGTCGTCCATAAATGACATCCGCTCGACTAACTGTGTATACGAGTGTCGTCCGTAGATGACAACTGCATGACGTGCTGTGTGTACGTATGTCGTCCATAGACGACATGTAGCGTGTTCAAGATTCATCAGTATGAGTTAAAAAGCAGGTAATTCTAGTTTTTAATTAATTTTTTTGTATATTAAAAGGTCAATTTTTAATTTTTTATTTATAAATAAATTAATTAATTAGTCGACTAAAATATAAAACTGTATCAAATCGATACAGATTAATTTTCGAATTAACCATTATTTTTACCATTCGAGTGTGCGTGATGTTCTGGGCTGGTGGACTGCGTGCTCGGCGTGCTGGGTGCACTGGTGGACGCTCCAGGTTCGGCTGAAGACGTGCTGACGGAAGCGACAAGGGTTTTTCGTTTGCTCAAGTATCCCTTCTTAAAAAGGACGTCCTGCCGTGGAGTCGTAATACGTGTGTATTCATCTGAAAGTAAATAAGGTTGTATTAAATATAGCCAGGTATGCGAGTGATAACATTTGATATCGTATGCCAATCACAGCATTGCGGCTAGCAGTTCAAATAATATCGATAGATGTGATCGGAAATTATGTCCCTTAAAGATGAGATTTGAAGATTTTTCGCGGTCAAGTATCACTAGCTGATTAAATCTGTTCAGTTATCAATTGTAATAAAAAACATTCCGTAAAAAAACATTTACTATAAGATACTCCCCAATGGGCCTTGTAAAGAGAGTATATTTTAACACGTTAATTTCCACAATAACATAAAAAAAATCACAGGAGCTATAGTAACTTTATCAGACAATTTAGTTAAAAATGTATCAAGGAAACTTAATGTATCAAAGAAAAACATTTAGTCAAAATTTGACCAGGGCCTTTTCTATTTAACTTGGGACCCTTCGGGGTAGGGGATACAATTGTATGAATATAAATACCTGTAACTTATAATAACTAAGAGAATAGCAAAAGTAACGAGAGAAGAATGTTGTAGAGTGAATTTCAATATATATCAGAACTAAATGGTGTTGTAATAATAACCAAGAGAATAGCAAAAGTAACGAGAGAAGAATTTTGTAGAGTGAAGTTCAATATATATCATAACTAAATAGTGGTTTTATTCACATATCTTGTGGTGATCTTATGGAATACTTATAATTTACAGTTCGCTTAATATCCAATTAATCATAGTGACCTTCATCAACATTTTTTGCCAAAATTCCTAGAAAAACACTATTTTTTACATATGTCTGACATGACTCATGTAAAACTTTTTAGCGTCAGATACATATGATTGACATGGCGATTAACGTATCAAATTTATTATCTAGACTTCAATGGCCAAGCATACTGTGCAAAATAAAATTTCAAAAGTTTCTTTCACCTCTTCTGAATAATTTAAATATCCACAATTTAAATACGAGTAGACATTTAGTTCCAAGCAAGCAGTGATCCAACAAAAAATTATCATCAATCAATTTCTATTTAATGCTAGTACAAATTTGGCCTGCATTTTTCAATTAAATTTATCCTAAAATATAAACTAAACTAAATATGCTTGCATAAAATGAATTATTTCATATAAAATAAAATACATAATAATTGATCGATATAGACTCAGTTAAATATATCACATATCAATCTGTCTTAGTATTCTATAACATGTTTAATATTTTTAAATTATATATTATCTGGTACTATGTAAGGGCAACATAAATTATTAAAGTATATTTCTATCACTAAAAAGTTTCCACTTAATACGTACAATTATATAATCATTATTAAATTCGATGCAACCAATAATAAAGTAGAACTTAAAAATATCAAATTTTAACTTAGAAAGCATTATCAGCACCGTGATGGCACAGCAACTGTTCAATTTGCAAAAAAGTCTGTTTTTACAAAATTTGAAAAAAGATCGTTATAAAAACAATATAGAAATATTTTAACCAGACTAGAATGTTCGACTGCAATTTAAGGTGAACATTTTCAATTTTCGTATTTATATTATCAATATCCTAACATCAATATTTTTAGCATTTATCTACAAAAAAAATATTTATGAACAACTTCAACGCTTATACTGTTTAGGTCGAAGAAGAAATGACGATATTTACATAAGATAAAAATCTTGAAGAAATGCAAACTAAGGGACACAATGTTTGCCTTGTTGCCGTTGCTCAACGATTCAATACGTGCAAAATTGAATTTTGTTGTATAACGAATGCAATTTAGTTCTGCACCTTTCATTGTATTTTTTTTTTTTTTGAACAGCAAGAAGTCCTATAAGCTGCTGTGCTAAATTGACTTAATACTTGTCGGATCTACGGATGGCAACCCAATCAGTTTTCCTATCTCTGTGTGATGAATTATTACAATTTCTGTAATAGATTGATGCAGCAATGCCGGATGAGGGCTATGTTTACATGCAAACATAATTTTATCTATATTTCCAAGTGAAAACCGTTGTCACTACTGCTTGACAACAGGCTGTTCCAAGCGGAATCAAACTCTGAATCTTTGATTCAGATTCAGTTCTTCTGTTCGAACGTCTTTACGTTTTATTATATTGGCCATGAAGGTGACAAACTGCAGGGCATTAAGCTTTACACGGAATGGTTGCTACCCTTGGTAGAGGGTAGCAACCCCCTGTTTTAATTGAACTAGTGGTTCACTTCTAAAAGTAAAGTCCGCTTAACAACATGTAAATAACCAATAAAAATAAATATATCTTTGTTCATTTATAAACTTAGTAACAAATCAGTGATTGTAATTAGAACTGCAACAAATACATAATTTAAAAAAAAAGATTACACAAAAATATTTGGCGTTGCATTCAGGAAAAAAGTATGCATCATTATTCCTAGCGTGTGCCAAATATTTTGGTGATCCTCAAAATGTGAACGCGTAATTGTAAGATCAAAAAACATAAGTCAATAACATTTAGAAAAAATCAATCACCAATAAATTTCTTATGCTAATGATCATAACATATTGAAAAAATACTGTGCATTCAAAATGTGAATGCAAAATTAGAAGATCAAAAAACATAAGTCAATAACATTTGGGAAAAAATCAATCACCAATAAATACTAATACTAATAATCACAACATATTGAAAAAATACTGTACATGTGGCCATACAAGTTTTCACATGTCTTTGAAACAGTATGTAGTAGTTAGAGTAGTTTTTTTCAAATTAGACTAACTATCAATATTTTTGACCCTTTCCACTCGCGAATTCCAAAACTAATATGTAGTTTGTCGCCGTAGCGGCAGCATCCGAGTGGAAAAGGTTAATAATAGTATTTTATATTAAGTGCAACATCAGAAAAGTTCTATATGGGGCCGTTCAAGTATTACGTAAGCACTATAGGGGGGCGGGGGGGGTTGTTGATTTGCTTATTTTGGGTTGACATGGGGGGCAGGGGAGTCTGGATGATGATTACGTCATAGGTAGTATTTTTATTTTTTTACATTAATTGCAAAATGTTTACGTAAGCATGGGGGTAGGGGGTAAGAGCTTTGCTTACTTTTGCTGGCAAGGGGGATGGGGGGTAAATAATTGTAATAAATCTGCTTACGTAATACTTGAACGATCCCTATGACAACAATTACCTTCGTTGAATTTAATTTTCGGCGCGTCGGGACCGGCGCTGCTATGCGATCTCTCACCATTGCGTGCGTACTGGTGCGACGGGTGGTATCCGCCTGCGGAACCATTTCGTCGTGTCGGCGTCGACTGACTGGAGAAGGTGCGTCCAGAAGCTGCATGGCCGTAGCTCGATCGTCCATATCCATTCCGGGGATTGTTTCCTTGGTAGCCGGAATAATTGGACGGCCTCGTGCCTCCATTCACGTAATCGACACTATTCGGTTTCTTGAGACCGGATTCATCCTCACTCCCGGCTTCTGAAATAAAGGACAGAATATTTAATAAAAGTTTATAAATGGGAAGTACATTTAGTTATTGTAATATAACTTAAAACATCATTCATGCCAATATAATATAAACAATTTTGTGAAGAAAAAAATGTCTCCAGTAGCAGTCTAATAATTGTCATATAAATCAGGACAATGTTTCAAATCGTGCAACTAAATATTTTTTATGAAAGAGTGCAACTAAATATTAATATATAGAGGAAATACGAGCAGAATAAAATGTTTTGTTTCTTAACGCCTTAACTTAAAATGACGAGTAGAGCCCGCGTGCAATTGCAAGGCCAAAAGTGAATATTACGGACATAGCCCGCGTACGATATTCGGGCCAGAAGCAAATATTATGTATTTCGGGCATGGCCCGGTATGGTGAACGCAATTATTATAAAATATTTACTCATACAAAACTAAAAAACACAAAATTATTTTTATTTTTTTGATAAACCGTACACTATGAGGGAAAATAGTCACAACGCCGCGACAGCTTGAATAACTTTGGGCCGACATTTTCGAATCTAAATTGTAAGTTAAGGAGTTAATGATATATATATTTATTTGATGATATTATAACCAGTGCTAATTGTTTATACTCTTTTTTATTATTGTTTATCTTTGGCTACTGGTAGTCAACAGTAATATATTCTTTTAAGTAGGAACTATAATAACATATTTATTAATAGAATATGTAACTAATTACAAAAACCATTTTCTCCATACAGTACAAATAAATTGACAAATAGGCTAGAGATATGTTAGAACGTTAATTAATAAGAAGGCAGTTCACAAATGAATCGTTTGGTCCTTTTTGGGATATCAAAACATGACCCATGAGCCCAATGGGTACAAATCACACATCGTGACCAACCTTCGCCGAGATCAGGACGTGAAGAGAGAGGATTTTGCATCAAATGCAAAGCTCTTTTCTGTAGGAACTATTTATTTCTACTCCCAAAGAAGTATTGATCCAACTCGTATTTTTACCATTGGATTCTTTGGTCTGTTTTTAGAAGTAGACTGTAAGTTAAGCCAATCGCCTTTGACAGGTTTCAATTTTATTTTTTCTTAACCTCGAATGAACTACTCTGTATAGCAAAATAGTCATTTTGCCCGTTGTATAAGTATGTCATTTTACCCGAAAATGAACCAAAGTAAATAAATCAAATAATTAAAATTTTATCAAACATCTGATTATTTTAATAAAACTGATAGAAATCACTAGTACTGGCATAAGTTCATTAATTTCAATAGAAATAATTACAAATATGTTACAGTAAGTAAGTACCCAGAAGACATTAAAAAACCACGCTCAAAATAAACTTGTGAAGGCGCGAAATGCGTTAGAGTTGATTACTCCAAAGAGACTGTGACAATGACGCTCAACATCTGACACGATTCTGATTATGGCTTACTTCATGTTATACAGTCGCGGAAACATTTCTAAAACTAGCCAATAAGGGGGCGTGCATTAATCGCGTGAGGTTTTTAGGTTGACAAAAAATCAGGAAATAACACGTGGGGGAGGGAGGGGTATAGTAAGATATCACTTGTATTTATTAGTGATTTTAGTGTATTTATTTTTTACGTGTTTTTTTTAAATCTAGCATTTTCAAGCAAAATCAAAAAATTTACAATTTTTCTTGTAACTAAAAATACACGTTACGTGTCGTGGGAGAGGGGGGTGTCATTTTGAATATCACTACGTATCACCAAGGAGGAAAGGGTTCCAAAAATCCTTAATAAATCGATCACGTGATTGATAAACGCCCCCTAAGTTCACTGGGTCATTTTGTCAGTATTTCCCCTACGGGAGATATTACAAGCAAGTTGCAAATATTAAATTACACATTCCCTTCATTTTATTATCCTAAATTAAACACTGACGTCTAGGCTATGATCTATGATCAATATTTTTTATATCTAAAAAAACATGTGTGTTCATTTTGTATATAGAGCACAATAATAATTTCGTCGATTATTACTGGAGAGCAGTACCCTTCCGGAAGCCAGACATTAGTAAATAATTTAAAAAATACAATTTTTAACAGTAATTACGCATTCGTATATAACAACCAGGAAACACGCGATATATTTCGGAGGTCCCGAAGTTATAATTTCAGTCAATACGTCGTATATGTAGTGTGTGGTAATTGTGCTAGACTGTTGTATGTGACAGTGGTTAAAATTAAACCATAGATGAACAGCTCATTAATCATTCGAGAATATTTCAGTCGCAAGAAGAGTACCCGCAGCGTCCGCACGGCTCTATCAGTTTTTGTTGATAACGATTGTACGCATGCGGATTTTGATCTAGATGAAAATTATGTTTAATCAGTAGTTCGTGAGAAATCATTCAAAAATCTATTTGATTTAAAAAAAAAAAAAAAATTAACGTGCCTCGGGATGTACACTCTTATTTTGTATAACCAAAAATATTGATTGACAAAAAAATTACTTAAGTTTATTTAATGTACTATTGTTATCTAGTACTAACTTAATTAGTATAACTCGTAATATTATACTTAAGTAGTTTAATGTAACTAGAATAATACATCAAGAAAATTACATTTAATTATAACTTTTGACTCAAAGTATAGGGTAGGGCGCAGCACAAATTTGAGTTTCAGTATTTATAATGTCTAAACTAAATGGACTATATGACAATACTTAACCCGTATCAAATAATCAACTATCGAACTATGTTCAGTAAAATTTCTAGTTAATTCCTAATTATAGAAATTTACACTATTTTTCTAGTATTCGTCAACTGTCCCATTTTACCCCATGAACGGGGTAAGAAAGGACAGCCATGGGGCGAATAAATGCAAATTTCTTTTTAAAAAGGGATTTTACAAAATAATATTTACATTTCGACAAATGTAAATTACGAAATGTTTTGGGTTCATTTTCTACAAAGATTTCATTGTACATAACCTTGATCTTGTATTTCGAAAAAACTGTTCAACAGAGGTCGAATAACGAGGTTCAGTAAAATTCCTAGTTAATTCCTACTTATAGAATTGTGTTTTTTACTATTTTTCTAAAATTTGTCATCTGTCCCTTTTTACCCCATGGGCGGGGTAAGAAAGGACAACCATGGGGCAAACAGATACATTTTTTTCTAATGTAATTTCACCAAATAATATACCTACATTATTTAATCAATGTGAATTATAAATTTTCTGGGATCATTTTCTACAAAGAAATCATTGTATATAACCTTGATAATGTATTTCAAAAAAACTGTTCATCGGCAGGGGTCGAATAACTATTGATTTAATAATTTATCTCCAGTAAAATTACTTTTTTAACTTAATTCACTGTCTTTTTTTATTTTGTATTTCTTATTGTTTTCACCTCTGCCAACGTTGAGGTTTAGTTGGCTTTTACCCCACTCACATGTAAGTTTTTATAGAAGTTATATAAAAAAACTGTTAAAAGTAATTAAAAAGTAACAGTACACCTCACAAATCAAATAAATAACGTATACTTAAGTACATTCAGGTATCATGAATTAATAACAAGAGTTCAAAACCAAAGAAACTACAAAAGAGATAAAATACATTTGGTATGAATATTGATGATAGTTTTTCAATTATCTTCTGATACAGATGTCGTAAAAATTAAGTCAATGTTTGGTTAAACATCTTTTGCCATCTATTTTAAAATAGTATCATTAAAAAATTCTATATTTGTTTTTGAGATAATGATGGTGGACCTTTAAGCTCTACTCTTCCCTATTTTATAACGCAATATAATACAATAATTTAAAGAAACTTAAACACTAAATTACAAAATGTTGATACAACTAGTGTTACAAAAAGCTGATATCGTAATCTCCGACTGGTCCGGTATTCAAAATTCTATCAAATTATCCAGGACGTTTTGGCAATTAATCATCTTTTGGCAGTAATTGGCATTCGATTCTGCGTTAAATCACTATGCATTTGGCATTTCTCGAATACGACATTAAAGTGCAAATTACTACACGCGCACATGATGTTACCGTCTAGCATTTGGCAAAACAATAATTGATTTTGGCCGTCAATATCGGAAAGCATTCTAAAGTACAGAGCACCTGGCTCATTACTTACTCGAGTCAAGATAGTTGGTACGAAATATTCACACTTGCTATCTTGCCAAACGCATTAAATTATAATTAAATATTTCTCATGAGATTGCTGTAAGTGACCGTGAGGAAAAATCGTTCAAATAACAGTCAAACGTTAACGTATATTGCCCACTTGTCCAGATAATTGGTCACCAGAACATCTTTACATCGAGTAATTTATTACTTCCTTTTAGATTGTAGGCGAGTATAGAATATTAACGTGCTTTATCATCGGCGCAAGTACGATCCTTAACCGGTCAAAAAAACCTTCCAGTACTATTTGATAACTTGAACTTATTTTTAAAGTTCTGTACCAAAGCGCTCGGAATAAACCCTATTATAATTTTGTGGCTTGTGTGTAAACAAGGAGGAACAAAGTTCTGAAAGTTTGAGTTGTAAAAGTATAAGTCATTAATCCCATAAAAAATATTTGAAAGAGTTTGAAGAAGTCTATTTTTTATGCTGATATATTCTCCTGCTTAAAATATATGAAATACAGAGTAGATAGAAATGCATTTTTGGTCATAGAAACAATTGGTTTTTAGGAGAATATAACTAAAAAATAACCACGCTTCTACAAACAACTTCAATGAAAAAAAAAACTAATCACACATACTGTATATGTCGATTTATCTTTGAACTTCCACGATTTTTAGGAAAAGTTCACAGAAATCGATTTGAAAATGTACATATAATGGTAAAGAGATAAATGCTAAGATAGTAACTTTTTATGTAAATGGAATAATAACTAGTGATGCATGGCATCGTGCCTTAAAGCTGTAACTTAACCGTACCTTAATTTAAAAATTTTATATATTCTTCAATTTTTGAATATTTTTAAAAAGAACGATTTTTTTTGAAGATT